AAGAACTTTTAAATAGTTAACTTGATATTAATATTAATATATATTTTTGCAAATTTTATATGATATTTTCAAGTTTATATTTTATTCAAAATAAAAACATTATCGCTTTCTCAAAACACATAAAATCGTATTATTCGACATAGATAAAAAAATAAAACGAAACATTGAAATCGAAATGTGAATGCATTGCACGAGTACCCTTCTAGTAATATTATAAAGCATTTGACATAAACTATTGAAAACCATTTTTTATGCATAAAATACTGTTTATTGATGCATATTACTTAAAATTCAATGTTATAAGTAATTTTGTATAAGTACAACTTATTAAAACTCTATTTTTAATTTCGTGTAACTAGCTGCAGATAAACATAATCAAATACATGATAAACATCAATTTTAAATATAGAATATTAAAAATATAGTTCAGATAATTATTGAGTTTTAACAGAATGTTTAATTATTATATTTTATAAAAAATTATATTAGTAAACCAAAAATAAATTACTTTGTTATTAAATCTAAATTAAATTACAATAAAAAATTGAATTAAAGAAGTTATACCAAAAAAATGAGAACTATTAAATAGTTAATTTGATACTAATATCGATTTTTTTAAAATTTTTATGCTATCTTCAAATTTAGATTTCATTCAAAAATAAAAACATTATTGTTTTCTCAAAACCACATAAAGTTGTATTATATCGATAGAGACAAAGAATAAAAACTAAACATTAAAGTCGAGATTTATCTCGCTGTATTACACGGATACCCTTCTAGTTAATAAAAAGACAGGAAGCAAAAAATTATATACTTAAGCCGTCCCTGAAAATCATCAATATATATATATATATATATATGTATGTATATATATATATATATATATATGTATATGTATATGTGTGTGTGTCATCTAAAAAACCTTAAGCTAAAAAAATAAATTCAAAACACAAGTCACAAGATTTTAACTTGAATCAAATGAAGCTCTACCTTTAACATTTAAAATAACCCAAGAATATGGTACAAGTTATTGTAACATTTGTAATGATGTTTGTTATTATTAAAATATAAATTTTCGGATTTATCGAATTATTCGGTTGCCAAATTGAAAATATTAAGTTCTTAGTACAAGTTGTTACTGGAAAAATGGTCGGAGAATGGC